TTATTTTTATTTTAAATATATAAAATAATAATAATCACATTTGAAATATGTTTTGTTTAAACCTTCAAATGACAAATATTTATTACATTTAATTAAATTATTATATTTAATTAAATTATTACATTTAAAATATATTTATATATGTTTTTACATAAATATATTTTCCATAAGACCATCAGTCGCTTATGTTTTTTATATATATTGTCAATCTAAATATATTTATATTTTACAATATATATATATATATATATATATATTAAAAAAACATTTTGGATTTACCTAAAATGTATTTTAAGATTGAACATTTTTTGTGCGTCTTGAAGTACATTTTGTGAGATATTTTGGCAATTGGATGTTTTAAACAAAACATATTTTCAATATTTCATTAAGCCACACTGTTTCCAACATATTTAGCATATATTTAAAATATATTTTAGCCAGATTGGTTTTCTGTTTGGTTAAACCGATTCGTTTAGTTCTACTGTCTCCTTTGTTTCTTTTCCATTATTTAACAAGGCGAGTTTTCATTGATTTATAAAAATGCTTGACATCAGTGTGACTTGCTTAAAGGAACACTCCACTATTTTTGAAAATAGGCTCATTTTCCAACTCCCCTAGAGTTAAACAGTTGAGTTTTACCGTTTTCGAATCCATTCAGCCGATCTCAGGGTCTGGCGGTAGCACTTTTAGCTGTAGCTTAGCATAGATCATTGAATCTGATTAGACCGTTAGCATCTCGCTCAAAAATGACCAAAGAGTTTCTATATTTCTATATTTACATCGTGTACTAAGACAGACGGAAAATTCAAAGTTTCGATTTTCTAGGCCGATATGGCTAGGAACTATACTCTCATTCCGGCATTATTTTCTGGGAAATCCATCAAAATGAAGTGAGTTTATGGATACAAATTAAATAAAAATGGAAAAAGTTGCTTAAAATGAGAAAAAAAGGAGAAAAAATATCTGCCAGTGAGGTCAGGAAAAAAACATAATTCAGAGAAAATAGGTTTATTTTTCTGACCCCACTGGCAGATATTTTTTCTCATTTTAAGCCTATACTCACTTCATTTTGATCAGTTTTTTTAGATGTCATTATGTCATCTCAAGTAAATATATCTTGATTTAAGAATATTTAGATATTTGTACTGGAAAAACAAAAAAATTCTCAGGAAGAACATCACGTTTTGCAGTGTAGTATCTGAAATCAAATAAAACAGCCGCCAATACCGTAGTGCATTCCTATAATGCCGGAGGAAATGACGTACAGTCAAACAATGACCAAATTGTTTGCGTAAAATGTGTGTAGACTTTCTAAATTTTAGAAAGAGCATGCCGGTCTATTTCTCTTGTTCTGCCTAATCTTTCGCTCACTTTCTGTCCTTCTCCAGCCCGACCGGGAGCTATGCATCCTCAGCCGAGCTCAGCCGCTGTAGTTCTCAACTGAGCGAAGAGTATGGCGAGCGAGAACTTTACGACGAGAACGACTCGTACCACTCCTGCCACTCGTCTGTGTCTTACAGCAAGGGCTCGCCCGACTGGGACGAGACACAGGGAGGAGCGTACAGCGACGAATGCGCCTACAGTAAAGACGGAGGAGAAGAAGGTGCTCTATATGAAGAAGAAGATGCTGACCTGTATCCAGAGGAGGTGGACATGTTCGAGGGCGAGGAGGACTTCAACTACGTCGATGAAGATTTGTATCCGGTGGATGGGGACCAAGAGCTTCCGTTCACCCCAACACCATCCAGCACCGCCCCAACGCTAGACGTCCCATCAACCACCAGACCTCCTCTGGAGAAACAGGCCTCACTTCACCAACAGTCTCAAAACGCCAGCCAACCTCCAGTTCAACCGTCCAATCAGACACAACCCAAACCCCCAAACCAACAAGTTCCCACCCCCCAAAAACAAGCACCACCCCAACAGCAGTCCTCAGGCCCAATCCCTTCGGTTCAGTCCTTCTTCGCTATGGCTAAGCCATTGACTGCCGTGTTTGGTTTGGGTGGATCTACTCCTTCACCACCAACAACTCAATCCCAACCTCCAGCTCAACCCGTGACAACACAATCCCAGCCTCAGATGGCTCAACCTCCTGCTCCTGCCACCCAACAGATGCCTCCACCTACAACCAAATCCCCTGAGCTTCCCACTCCTGCCCCAACAACCAACTCCAAACCTCCTGCACCAGAACCTAAACCTCCAACCCCGACAGAGGAGAAACTGCCCACAGTAGAGCCACCAATGGAGGAGGAACCTCCACTTCAAGAAGACGACTTTCACATGGAAGAACCTCCAAATGAGGAAATAAAGATTGAGAGTCCACCTCCATCTCCTCCTTTTGAAGAGGAGGAACCAGTACCTGAACCTGAGAGGTGCCACAAATATCTCAATAACTCTTTGTTGTTCCAAGATGTTCACAAGCAAAAATTTACTGGTAATGGTGATTGAACAAGGTTTCAGGTCAGGCAGCTTGTTTCTCAGCCTGATAGCTGATTAGTGTCCAAAACCACTTTACAACTAGCAAACCAGACTAACTTGGCCATCTAAAACACACAAACCACATTTATTGGATGATTTAATTTATGTTTTTTTGGATATTTCACCTGGTTTAGATGGTTGACCAGCGTGTCTTCCAGCCTGACCAGCTGATTAGTGTCCAAAACCACTTTACAACCAGCAAACCAGACTAACTTGGCCAGTAAAACACACATTTATTGGATGATTTAATAGATGTTTTAATAGTTGTATTTCTGACTTGGTTTAGATTGTCGACCAGCTTGTCTTTGGGCTTGACCAGCTGATAAGTAGCCAAAACCACTTTAAAACTAGAAAACCAGACTAATTTGGCCACCTAAAACACACAAACCACAATTATTAAATGATTTAAAAGCTGTTTTTAGGATATTTGACCTGGTTTAGATGGTCAGCCAGCGTGTCTTCCAGCCTGACCAGCTGATTAGTGTCCAAAACCACTTTACAACCAGCAAACCAGACTAACTTGGCCAGTAAAACACACATTTATTGGATGATTTAAAAGCTGTTTTTAAGATTTTTGACTTGGTTTAGATGGTCGACCAGCTTGTCTTTGGGCTTGACCAGCTGATTAGTGTCCAAAACCACTTTAAAACCAGTAAACCTGACCAGCCTGGACAGAAAAACCCCCAGCAAAACTGCATTTATTTGATGAATTAATGCTGTTTTTTATAGCATAGTTAGGCGAGGGAATTGTTAGACTAATTTTGCTGGATTATACATGCAAAAGTCTTGTTTGTCTGTGCAGTGAACTGGTGAAGGAGGAGCCGAAGGAGCCGGTGGATCCGGCGGTCAGAGCTAAAGAGAACTGGTTACGACTCTTTGAGAAAGTCCGACGGCAGTTGCAGGAGGTGAGACTTACATTTCTGTAGCAAGTCTACACTATTACTGGACCTAGACAGAGTTTATTATGTTGATTTATGCACAGAAATTTACATTGCTCTTGTTTCGTAAAGGAGTTTGTAGGAAAGTACAAATCACTGCCACAAAATGCTTGAAATCAGAATGAATTCAGGAAATCAGAACTGACCCAGTTTACTTCCTGAATACATTCCTGGTGTTGTGAGCATTTTCGTCCACGCTATTTCACCTGAAAAAAGATGCTTGTCACTTAAATCGAATCTCCACAAAACTCACATTCATTTTCTCAGTTTTATTCAGAAATGTGTCACGTTATGGAAGTAAAATGGGTTGCAAACACTGTTTTTATATTTTCATACACATTTTCTCGGTGCTTATAATGCGATGAAAAACCATGCTAATGCTAACGGCACTCTAACCGCTGTCATGATTATTTTGCAGTTTGCCACGTCCTCTTTGCTTCTTTTTTGTGTGCGTTATTCTGTTGACTCTTTATCCTTTTGTTGTCTGTTTGTATCCCGGCGTTTTGTCGTCTTTCCAGTCTCTTTTCATTGCTTTAGCGATTTGCATGTTCGCTCAGATGAGCCATGATTGGACGAGACTGTCAGGTGGGTCCGTTGTTAGTGGTGTGAACGTTCTGTGGTGGTTTTGTGAGTTTTTGACCTGTGTAAAATATCAGCTGAAATAGCCTTAGCCACACATCAAAAATTAAATTTCATGTTTTTTATGTAATTGCAAACAGCACAAAATGACTGCATCCCAGCTAAAAGAACGTTTTGCTAATGTTCCCAGAAAGTTATAATGAAACCTTATTTCTAAATGTTCTTTGAATGTTCAAATAAATTATTTTTTTTTATAATGCAAAAGTTATCTGAATGTTAAAAGCGTCCAGTTTTTCAAATGTTTTAAAAACTTTTTTTTGTTTTCGGTTTTTGTTATGTGAATGTTAACGTTAAAATGTCAATTTTTTAATCTTTTTTTTTTGGTTATGCAAACATTAAAGGGATAGTTCACCCAAAAATGAAGATTACCCCAGGAAAATTCCCCACCCTCAAGCCATCCTAGGTGTATATGACTTTCTTCTTTCAGACGAATTCAATCGGGAGTTATATTAAAAATTGTCCTGGCTCTTCCAAGCTTTATAATGGTAGTGAATGGGTCTTTTTGTTCAATAGTCCAATAAAGTGCATCCATCCATCATAAAAAGCGTCCCACGCGGCTCCAGGGGGTGAATAAAGGCCTCCTGAAGCGAATCGATGCGTTTTTGTAAGAAAAATATCCATATTTAAAACTTTATAAACCGTAATCTCTAGCTTCCACTAACTGTCGCACGCTCATTCCGGCGGATGACGTAGGCGTAGCGTAAGCTCCGGTGAGAAGTGACGGATGCGGAAGCGCAGCAGAGAGAGCAAAACAAAACACTGGTCACAAATTATAAGTACAAAACAAGAATTTGTAAAGAAAAATGTGGAAGGATTTCGATATAAGCCGAGAGGAGACTGGTATTCCTTTGCTAACGTAAGAAAACTTTGCTTCCTTTGCTGCTGTAAGCAAACGTTGGTTCTCATGAAACTAGCATATTCTCACCGGAGCTTACGCTACGCCTACGGCATCCGCCGGAATGAACGTGCGTACGACAGTTAGCGGAAGCTAGAGATTACGGTTTATAAAGTTTTAAATATGGATATTTTTCTTACAAAAACACATTGATTCGCTTCAGGAGGTCTTAATTCACCCGCGGCTCCGGGGGGTGAATTAAGACCTCCTGAAGCGAATCAATGTGTTTTTTTAAGAAAAATTTTCTTTTGGACTATTGAACAAAAACACCCATTCACTGCCATTATAAAGCTTGGAAGAGCCAGGACAGTTTTTATTATGACTTCGATTGGATTCATCTGAAAGAAGAAAGTCATATACACCTAGGATGGCTTGAGGGTGAGTAAATTATGGGGTAATTTTCATTTTTGGGTGAACTATCCTTTTAAGGCAACATTCCATTGTAGAATTTTGCAAACATGGGAATATTTCCGGAAAAAAAACAACCTTCCATCAACGATGTATAAATAAAGTTTTTGTGCTAACGTTTTGAAAACATTATTAAAGACGAGATCACTAAACGAAAGTTTATAACATGTTTATATATGTTTATAGTTTATATATGATTTGGGAGAGTTTTTGTTGTCCACAAATAGTAGATTATTGCACTCAAAATAAATAATATTTTAATGTAAAGAAATTTAGATGCTGTAGCAATATATATGTAGCTGCTAAAATATTTTTATTGGCAGACTTTTATTTACGTTTTGAAATTAATGCCAAATTGAGTTTTATTTTATAAGAAGGGTCTTCAGTGCGTTTAAAGACTAATGTTCAACTAATATGATTTTGTTGATGGTCGAGGCCGATATCTAGAAAGGAGGGTGATTGGTATAGTTGGTTGTAAAATAGCTGAAACACGTTGCTCATTTGTTAAATATTGTATTTAATGCCAGTTAAATACTTCATTGTTAATTGAATGATCTTTTACTGCTTTCCTTCTGATGTTATTTCATTGGCCTCATTGCCAAAAAGAGATTTTTTTCAGTGTTTATTGCAGTGTTTTTAGTGTGATGTACTGTTTTTTGTTGTTTTTATTAATTTTTATTTTAATTTTCATATTTTGTGTTATTAATTTAGTTTTAGTTTAGTTTTATCATTTTAAGTGTTTCGTAATTTAAATGGTGTTTTGCCATTTTTATTTAATTTTTTAAAAATACCTATATAGTTTTTATTATTTTTTATTTCAGGTAGACTAAACTAAACATATATATTGATTCATTTAATGTTTATTATATTTAAAATAAAATAGTGGTTTCCCCTAGTGAAAAATAAATATACTAAAATGTATTTGAAATGCATTTATTTCATGCTAAGTATACTACAAATACATTTACATATTTATGTATGTAATAAAAATACCCTGCAGTTGTATTTTTTTTTTGTGCTATACTTAAAGTCTGCTAAATTGGAACAACTAATTTTGTACTTAATGCACTTTAATTGTGCTGAAGTCCAACTAAAGATATACTGAAGTATATTTGATTGTGCTAAAGTGGAACTATTGCAAGTATGCATCAGGTACACTTTAAATATCTTGCATTTAAAGACCGATATTATTCAAAGATCATACAGTCCTCATCAATAGTGACATTAAAACACATTTTAGGCTTAATATTAAGAAATGTACATTGTGCAGAAGTAGTACTCCAAATAAAGTTTAATTATAATTTTTATATTAGCAAGTCTTGAGCGATATGTCAGTAAATATGTTAATAGATTTGAACTATACTTAGTATGAAATAAATTTATTAAATTACTTTTTTACTAGGGTCACTTTTAGTTAATGATTATAACCCTGGTTTGTTGTTGTAAAGCTTGTTGTGTTGCAGTGTCTGTGTTGAATACAGAAAATATTTAGACTCTGATCATTAGCTAATAAAATGTTTCTCTCTCTCTCAGGCACGAGGAGAGACAGACTCTCAGTCGCTGTGGTTTGGTAAAGGAGGGTAAGTCAAAGCTCATTTCCACCAGCTGTTTTTAGTGCAGTCAACAACATACTAAGACAAGGGCTGCAACTAATGATTATTTTGATAATCGATTAGTTAGCTGATTATTTTTTCGAATAATCAGATTAAAAAAAAACTATTTTTTAATTGACAAAACACTATTCCACATTCCTTGTTCGTCAAACAAACGTGCCAACTGAACGCTACGAAAACATACTGTATGCTGAATATACTGTATCTCTGTGCTATTCATGATGTGTAAAAGAGTTATAAAGCACAGTTTAAACAGACAAATGGACAAAGGACAGTGGAAATTATAATGATGAAGATAGTAAAAAAAACACAAACTCGGTGTTAACAGATAAGAGGAATGTTCTGCAGGAACACACACATTCACTCTGAACACAGTCACCTGTTTCTGTCATTTCTTTATTCTGTAAATGTAAAAAACGTCTAATATTTATATTCAGTCACACTCTGTTATCCCTTGACAGTTGCTATCATAAAATACTTGAATTACATGTTGACTTTTAAACCTAATTTTAGCATCCAATAACAGATATATCAGCAAAAGTGGGCAGACGCGATTAATCAATAATGACATTTGTTGTCGATTTTCATTATCGATTATTATCGATTTTCTCATTTCCACCAGCTGTTTTTAGTGCAGTCAACAACATACTAAGACAAGGGCTGCAACTAATGATTATTTTGATAATCGATTAGTTAGCTGATTATTTTTTCGAATAATCAGATTAAAAAAAAACTATTTTTTAATTGACAAAACACTATTCCACATTCCTTGTTCGTCAAACAAACGTGCCAACTGAACGCTACGAAAACATACTGTATGCTGAATATACTGTATCTCTGTGCTATTCATGATGTGTAAAAGAGTTATAAAGCACAGTTTAAACAGACAAATGGACAAAGGACAGTGGAAATAATAATGATGAAGATAGTAAAAAAAACAGATAAGAGGAATGTTCTGCAGGAACACACACATTCACTCTGAACACAGTCACCTGTTTCTGTCATTTCTTTATTCTGTAAATGTAAAAAACGTCTAATATTTATATTCAGTCACACTCTGTTATCCCTTGACAGTTGCTATCATAAAATACTTGAATTACATGTTGACTTTTAAACCTAATTTTAGCATCCAATAACAGATATATCAGCAAAAGTGGGCAGACGCGATTAATCAATAATGACATTTGTTGTCGATTTTCATTATCGATTATTATCGATTTTATCGATTAGTTGTTGCAGCCCTAACAAAGACAGCAGTTAAGTGTACATGATGTTGATCTTATGTTCTTGTATACTCATATACTCAAGTGTTTATGGAGAATAACGTAACACAGTTTTTAGGGATGATCCGATCGATTGGCCGGAGATCGATATTGGCCGATAATCACATTTTATGACTCGATCGGTACTCACTAACTTGGCCGATCTCACGAACTGAACGCAATTTGATGACGTCAACGCGTGATGACGTACATGATGCGTGGGGACATTAATGATTTGGCGTCGCAGTCATGTCATCGCCGGTGTGGAAATGCTATGAAAATGTGCTATTTGTCGTGTATGTTTTGCATGATGATATGATGAATGGATGGTTCATTTTTAACAGCAGATTCAGTGACGTTAGAGCTGATCTGTGCCTCACTGCACACGTCTGCGTCGCATTACGGCTCCACGGGAACCGGAGCCGATCGCGGCCGCTCTAGTTAGTGCTTGTGTTTATCAGCCAGCCGCGGCACGTTTCTGACGCATCTCTCCGCGCTGCTTGGATAAAAATAGTCTTTTGTGAGGTGTCACAGCACGGAGGACGGAACAAAACCTCGTCGGAGCCGTAAGGGATAACGGTTACATAATACGCTGATCGTGGGCTTCTCTTAAATGAACATTTATTTATAAAACAAAATATCTTCTTTGGCCATATTAGTCTACTCAATAGCATTAACACAGGCTTTACTCCTTTCAAACTTTATCTGGAATCCGTTTCTGTCACTGCAACTTCCCGATCAGGCAAACGAACACACACACGAAATCGTCTGCCTCATGAAAAAAATTTAGTTAATATTTGCATCATTTATGATTTATTTTATCCATCTGCGACCCACCCGCAAATAATCATAATTCATTTTTTATTACCTGACCCGCGGATTATCCACAGCACCTGTGGATATAGGAAAAGCAAAATAAGTTTGCTGCCTAAATCAGATGGACTTATTAAAAATGCAACAAATGAAAATGACATCAAAAATTTTCTAAAGACAGTCTTCCTTCAGAAATACAGAGATATAAAAACACCCGCACCTCATTTTGATTTTTAAACGTGCAGTACATGCTCATGTTTATTCAAGGAAGCCTTTTGGAAAATCCTTCAGTTTTGATATTGTGGTGAGCGCCACAAATAAATAAATGTATGGGAAACACATCCCACAGCACAACCACCTGAGCCCAACTTCAGTCTACTCATCACCTTAACTTTAACTGCGTTTGTAGCCGGCGCCATAGTCAGACTGATGAACAAACACAGACCGGAAGTTAACTTCGGCCAGGCTCGTGCGTCTATATAAAGCGTCTATATAACGCTTGAAGCATCAGAATCGGCATCGGTATCGGCCGATCACCATGACAAGAAATCGGTACTCGGAATTGGCTGCAAAAATCCTGATCGGAGCATCCCTAACAGTTTTACCTGCCATTAGGGAATGCATGAACTAAATAAAATGCATAGCTTGAATGCAATGGTTAATAATGCATAAATGCAAAAATAGCAATTCTATATAAATCAGAGATGACATATTTTGCTCTGCGCACTCTAGTTAGAGAGTAAACGTTTATGGAAATTGAGTTCAAGGCATACTGGTTATAATGGTGATGACGAGGCAGTGAATGGATGTAATTTTCTGCCTGCTGTTGAGGAAGGGAAGTTATTTTTCATGCAACATTATACTTATGATTATGTTTATTTCTCCAGGATGGGCGGGGCGTTGTACAGCATCGACAGCATGCCTGATCTGAAGAAGAGGAAGACCATTCCTCTGGTCAGAGATCTGGTGAGAAACCAACAGCAAAAACTCTGAGACTTTGTGTTTATCTAATATTCAGTTAATCTGCATTGAACTTACATTGGGATGGACTGGTTGCTGACCGTTTCAGTAGAGATTGGTTGCAATTACAAATCACAATACACAACAAACTCAGAAGTGCAAAAATGTCACAGATTATTTAATAAATAGAGTAGGGCTGGGCGATATGGGCAAAAAATTATCACAATACATTTTTTCATCTCAGTCGATATCTGTAATTAGCACGATACATTTTATCATATCAGTCGATATTGGTAATTATCACAATAATTTTTTTTCATATCAGTCGATATCGGTAATTAGCACGATACTTTTTTTTCATATCAGTCAATTTCGGTAATTATCACTATACATTTTTTTCATATCAGTCAATTTCGGTAATTATCACTATACATTTTTTTCATATCAGTCGATATCGGTAATTATCACTATACATTTTTTTCATATCAGTCAATTTCGGTAATTATCACTATACATTTTTTCATATCAGTCGATACCGGTAATTATCACTATAAATTTTTTCATATCAGTCGATATCGGTAATTATCACTATACATTTTTTTTCATATCAGTCGATATCGGTAATTATCACTATACATTTTTTTTCCTATCAGTCAATTTCGGTAAGTATCACTATAATTTTTTTTCATATCAGTCGATATCGGTAATTATCACGATACATTTTTTCATATCAGTCGTTATCGGTAATTATCACGATAAATTTCAAAATGGTTTGTAGGTTTATTTCTTTCAAGTTTAAAGGCAGATTTTTGCTCCTAAGTGAAAGTTGTAGAAACCAGATCATTAAATGTGGTCTTAAACGACTCTTTATGGTCAGAACATGACAAACACTTCACGTTTTTGAATTCTTTACACTTTTCCAGTCATTTTTCCTTAAGTCAATTCAAGTCACCTTTATTTATATAGCGCTTTTAACAATACAGATTGTGTCAAAGCAACTTAACAGTATTAAATAGGAAAATAGTGTGTCAATAATGCAAAAAAACAAAATAAATAACAAAATAAATATCTTAATAGAGAAATAAATTTCTTAGTTTCTGCATGTTTTGAGTGATATTATTTCAGATCATGAAACAGGTTTGTGTTCCTGACTTTGATGACGTGTATCTTCAGCACAGTGCAGGCTGCAATATTAATATTACATTTTTTTGGCACTTACTTGACAGTAGTTTAAGTTGAGTAGCAGATGTAAATCTATGTTCATTATCAAAAATATATGTAACATCTGTTAAAATTGTAACAACCTCATTTTTATATGGTGAAATGTAATTATTCTGACATGATAACCACAGTTAAACCACACATATTGCACCTCAGTACCATGGTAAAAATATAACTATGGTTTCTAGGTATTTGTATGAAAAGCAGTAGTCTAAATACATGTAGTATAAATGCACAAAAGCTTAGCTTAATCACAAAAAATACTGTAATTATATTCTTATACTCCTTTAACACATTTAATACGTCTACATTAATAATATAATAAAATGATAAACATTATATTAAACATTTATCAAACTCTTGTTATCGTTTTATCGAGAAGAAATTTAATCACAATAATTATCCGTATAATTTTATCGCCCAGCCCTAATATAGAGTAAAACAAGCACAGACACACTTTAGTAACTGAAAAGTATTCATTTATTATATTTATGAGAGTTTTATTAGGACAATACATTCTTAAAGCCATTTTTTAATTGGCTGTTTGTGGCACATTAGTTTCTCTTTTATGATCATTTAAATGTGAATAACATAGTTTTTGTCTTGTTTGCTTTGCCTCTGCTGTCTGGACTCAGGCTATGGTAAGGATTTGTAGTATTTATTACATATTAAGGCACCATTGTTTTTCTTTTTGTAAATATTTCCGTTTATAAGTTCACATTTTTATAGAGTTTGTCCCAGAGGGAGATTTTTATTGCTCTTTCATAGACTTAACGGAGATCCCAGTTATGAAGTATCAACTTTGTCTCTGACGTTTCTGCTAAAATTCCTTTCGAGAAATAAAAACAGACACAAATGAGTCAATAATTGAGATCCAGTGAAGGTAAAGAGCTGTAAAATCATTGTGGAGCAGCTCAGATCATTTTATGAGAAATCTTTAAGTTCATGTTGAAATCGCAGACTGGTGTCTCTGAGACGTTGTTGAGATCTCTTCTGAAACTCTAGAGGAGACACGTGTGCGATGACTGGGTTCTTTTCTCATCTGAGAAGTCTCCACTTGCTCTCTGTGTAATGAGAAACAGCTGAGATATGAATGAGCTCTCATGTGTGATTTTTCAGTCTCTAGTGCAGAACTCTCGTAAGGCTGGCATCACGTCTGCTATGGCCTCTAGCACACTCAACAATGAGGAGCTGGTAAGTGATGGGTCTCTCTGGAACATTACATTTAACTTTAAATTATAAATGCATTTTTGTCACCCATCTAAAAGTAAAGGTGCTACTGCGTGTGAAATCTAGCCAAAAATACATTGTATGAGTCAAAATTATCGATTTTTCTTTTATGCCAAAAATCATTAGGATATTAAGTAAATATCATGTTCCATGAAGATATTTTGTAAATTTCCTACCGTAAATATATCAAAACTTAATTTTTGATTAGTAATATGCATTGCTAAGAACTTCATTTGGACAACTTTAAAGATGATTTTCTCAATATTTAGATTTTTTTGCACCCTCAAGATTCCAGATTTTCAAATAGTTGTATCTCGGCCAAATATTGTTCTGTCATGTCCTAAACATGTGTTTATTTCATAAAATTGACACTTATGACTGGTTTTGTGGTCCAGGGTCACATATAGTCCTAAGTAACGCTGGTGTGTTTGTGCTGGTGTAGAAGAGTCACGTGTATAAGAAGACGCTGCAGGCTCTGATCTACCCCATCTCCTGCACCACGCCACACAACTTCGAGGTGTGGACGGCCACGACACCCACCTACTGCTACGAGTGTGAGGGTCTGCTGTGGGGCATCGCGCGTCAGGGCATGCGCTGCTCCGAGTGCGGCGTCAAATGCCACGATAAGTGCCAGGACCTGCTCAATGCCGACTGCCTGCAGAGTGAGATTTCAGTGCTTACAGTGTGTCAGTTAGGGCTGGGCGGTATATCGAGTTTGTACGATATATCGATATTTTCTTTATAAGCAATACGATATGAGGCAATACCGTTTATATCGATATACAGTAGTTTGATACAAGCGCATCTGAAAATATAACGGAGGACACAGACTGAGCTGCTTCGGAGAAAGTGCATAATACAATTAGTTCTAAACATGTGACAAGCTTTATATTAAGGCCTTTAAAAACTGGTAAGACAGTATAGTTTATAGTTTCGCATAGTTTAAGCGTCTCGGCCCGTCATATGCTTTGACAGAAAGGCTGCGTGTGCCGCTAACAGACTGTTTAAGGGGCCGTTCACATGTCACACCTAAAAACACGTGGAAAACACTAGGCGCGCCGCTTTCTGCTTTTTTCCAAAGCGTTCAGAGGCGTCTGCCGTTGCTAAGCAACCATGACCTG